GGTTTCACTGTTAGTCAGGCTGGTCTCGAACCCCTGAACTCAGGTGATCCACCTGCCTCTGCCTCCCAAAGAGCTAGGATTACAGGTGTGAGCCACCAGGCCCAGCCAAATATTATTGAGATTTTAAAATCAAAAGCTATACTTAATATATTCCATGAAAAATGACTTTGGAGCAAAGACCTAGAAAGGAAATTTTTTTTTTTGAAATGGAGTCTCACTCTGTAGCTCAGGCTGGAGTGCAGTGGCATGATCTCAGCTCACCGCAACCTCTACCTCCTGGGTTCAAGCAAGTATCTTGCCTCAGCCTCCTGAGTAACTGGGACTACAGGCATGTGCCACCACACCTGGCTAATTTTTGTATTTTTAGTGGAGATGGGGTTTCACCATGTTGGCCAGGCTGGTCTCGAACCCCCCCCCGAATTCAGGTGATCCACCTGCCTCGGCCTCCCAAGTACTAGAATTACAGGTGTGAGCCACTGCGCCAGGCCCTAGAAAAGAAATTCATACCTAAGGATTTTTTAGTACCCAAACTGAAACTCAATATATTCAGCAGCAAATCTCAAGTATAGATTTATATAAAGTATACCTAATAACATCTTACTACACACGTCAGTAGGCAATAAAGTCTTCTGCAAAAGACAGTAAGGCAGAAAATGGGAATGTAACCCCTTTACAAACCGGGCTTCCACTAAAAAGTCTTTCCAGGACTTAATGTGGAACTCTTTCCTAAACAGGGAATCTTGAACACAGTGCTTTAAGAGTCCATTTTGTACGCCAGGCACAGTGGCTCACGCCTGTAATCCCAGCACTTTGGGAGGCTGAGGCCGGTGGATCACCTAGCTCAGGAGTTCAAGACCAGCCTGGCCAACATGGTGAAACCCCGTCTGTACTAAAAATACAAAAATTAGCCAGGCATGGTGGCAGGCACCTGTAATCCCAGCTACTCGGGAGGCTGAGGCAGGAGAATCGCTTGAACCCGGGAGGTGGAGGTTGCAGTGAGCCGAGATCACACCATTGCACTCCAGCCTGGGGACAAGAGCGAGACTTCATCTCACACAAAAAAAAGAGTCCATTTTGTGTTCCTATGTTATTTGTACAATGTTTCCATTTTCTCTTATGGGCATGTTTCAAATTGTCCTTTTCCACTGTCAATCTCTAGTAAACCACTCTGGGATCACTTAGTATACACAGAATAGGCAGCACACGGAGTCTGGGTCTGAGGAATACTTGAGCCAAGTGTGTGTGTTGTTCAAAGACTTTCTTTGTACAAATGCTAATTTCCTGCCCTGTTCCAGATAGCTGAAACTGGGGGAAAAAAAAATCTAGAAACGTTACCGTACCCTGATTTCCCAACAGCTTTAGCATATTCTCTAAGGTTAAGTGCATATCCACGCACATGAAGAGAACCGCTAGGACTTCAAACATTCTGTGTTGAGTTCGTGGCTTACTTTTTCAGAATGTTTTCTCCAGAAAGAACTTTTTAAATTTCTACAAAGTTTTGTTTGAGGATACAGTCAATATTTTTTCCTACTGATTTTAACTTCTTTCGGCCTCAAACCTTTGCAAACTTGACATTATTTTAAATATTCATTATGATATTAAAGAAAAAAGTAAGGTATGTCACCATGTAATACTGGCTGCAATAGACAGTGCATCAGTCATGTTGATTTATAAAGACAAAACAGTATGTGACTCTTAGGTACTTGGGAACAACTTTAGAGTGATGGCAATGTGTTCCACCCCTTGTAGACATCATGAAGCATATAAACTTCAGTAGAAAGTTCATTTAAATGCTGTTAAAAGTACAAGTATTTTGAATTGGAAATATACCACTCATTGACATTGTTGCCTAGAAGCAGTCATAATTATTCTCACCAAAGGCATAAATGTATACACACACATATTACAAATAACACATGCAAACATCCACATCTGTAAGGGGTGCTTCTACAGGCCTTATGCTATATTATGTATGTACAGATGTAAATAAATATAATTATTCTCTAGAATAGAAGCAAATTATGTTTCCAGTATTGTCTAATCACACAAAGAAGACAGAACTTTGTATTATTTATATGTGATGTCCTGATAAAGAAATCAAAGTATATGAACTTAGAAGACTTGAATGCTATACTTCTGGTTTAAGAAACTGATATATCATCTACTCTGTCATCTCAGATTACTTTAAAAGTTCTGTTTTGTTAAGACTATTATTTGCTTAGGTTCAATTTGCAACCCAAGTTAAAGAAGCATTTACAATCTAAAAATCTGGAAGAAGTAATTACACTCAGATGTAGGCTGTTTTCATTGCTTAAATTATTTTTAAAACATAAGGTAACTTGACATTTTAAAGCAATTACAATTATTTTCCAAAGAAATGCTAGGGTGCTTCACATTCTGCCTGTAAAACGGCAATCATTTAAAGAGTATTTTATGTCATCAAATACAACTGTTGTGTGGTTTTTAAAGTCCTCTGATAAATGGTCCAAGAGGGAGGAGGAGGACAGAAAGAAAACCCAAAAAAGCTATTATATAAGAGAATTAATTTAGAAAAACTGTTCTAACTGTTCCACCTGGGCCTTAAAGGGAAGAAAAAAAAAGAAAAAACACCTTTGCTGGCTTCAGATACATTAATTTAAAAACAACAGGCGGGCATGGGTGGGGAGGATGCAATGAGAGAACAGGTAATTTTAAAAGGCATTGTCTAGAAACTAGAAATGAGGAGAAAACAACCTCAATGCTCTATGATTACCCAAGAACAGGTTTAGCCAGATGAACAAGTCTGCTACGAACCCTCCCCAAGGCATTTGAAAGACTATCAAACAAAACTTTATTAAACTGGATTACATGTTCTCATTCATTAGATGTTGAAGGCCACAATGTTTATGGTCAGGTGAAAAAGCTGATGCAAGGGACCCAAACCAGGCCTTCTTTTTGGTCTGTTTTTATTAGTACAAGCACTGTTAAGACAACCCACGATTAAATGTATCTGCCAGCAGGTCAAGTTCCTGAATCGCAGGTATAAGCATTCAGGGCACTAAACCCTGACAGGGGGTGAAAGGCTATTCAGATATGGGTTTGACTACATCCCTGCAATAAGTAGCTGATTACATCGTTATATGCAATTGTGCTCTTTTATGAGGAGACTTTAACCCCATGAAAATGTGTTCCCTCCTATCTCTTGTTTCAAGGACTTCCAAGAGAAAAAAACAACAGCTCAAATGTCTTTATATTTCCATTTATATTCTGTAAAAGGACATTTTGGTATTACTATATGGAATATTTTACTGGCACTTGTCATTTGTATCTTGAAAACTTTAAGTTGGAGTTTTTATAACATGCTTAATTCATTTGTGTTTAACTATAAAAATTTCTACCTTGGGCTGCTTATGAAGGATCCTTCCTCTTATGTAATCAGTTTGTCTCTATGCAAAAACCTCAGGCCAAAACAGCCTGCTCATTTCATAGATAAATACAAAAGATGTCTTTTCCTTAAAAGCAGTTTCTCAGAAAGCCCTGGAATCTACTACACTGTCATCAGATTTTAATAAGTAGTGTTTATCACTGGGATATCAAGCAATGCTTCCTAACATGCATACAAAATGTCTGCAACCATATTCCTCTTAGGGCTCTATCTCAGCACTGACCTTTGTTCAAAGGCTTTTACTTTTTAATGCAGCAGTTAGAGATAACTACTTCATTTATCAAAACTCAATTTCCATAGTAACATCTAGCCTGGGGAGATTCAAGTCCTCACACTAATCCAACAACCCATTCAAAGGAACTGTTGAATACTTTGGTTTCCATAGCAATGATGGAATAATACATTTTGCTAGGTCATTGCTTTTATTAGCAAACTTATTCTTTGAACTTTAGGTAAGGCTGTATTTATTGAGGGAAAAAAACAATCACTTTATGTAAGTTCTTTCCTTTAGGGCTGCTCTTTCAAGAAAATCGCAATTAGTAACCATCTATATATTTGAAAATATTTGGAGTATTTGGGGGCCTTTAAAGTATGCCACCTGGTTTCATCTTAAAATGGCTTCTGATATAATTTTAAAATGTAAAAGTTCTTAAAAGTGCTGATTGGGCGCAGTGGCTTCCGCCTGTAATTCCAGCACTTTGGGAGGCCAAGGCAGAGGTCAGGAGTTTGAGACCAGCCTGGCCAACATGGTGAAACCCCATCTCTACTAGAAATACAAAAATCAGCTGGGCGTGGTGGTGGGGGCCTGTAATCCCAGCTACTCAGGAGGCTGAGGCAGGAGAATCGCTTGAACGTGGGAGGCAGGGGTTGCAGTGAGCTGAGATCACAACACTGCACTACAGCCTGGCGACAGAGCAACACTCAGTGTCAAAAAAAAAAGTGACTGCAAATACAAAAGTAGAGTGGCTAAATTTAAAAGCACAAGTAAACAACAATGAAATGTAAGCTAGAATAAAGATGAAGTCTCTCATACATACCAAGTTTGTGCTGGGGCTTCTAACCCATTTCTGACCACCTGATTTTAACACTGCAATTTCAGCCCTACCTTTCATCAAGCACAGAAAACATACTAAACACAGATATTTTAACCTATAGGTGAAACTAAAGATAATGTTTTCACCAATTATGCTGTACATGAGTTTAAAATGGCTTTCTCAGAGCAAAATTATGTGTTATGGAAGAAAATGAGTTTTTTTTTTTTTCTTCAAAACACTGCCATTACAAGTTTTAAAATCCATTAGTAAACATCGTTGTTTACGTTTTGGGGTAATCAATTCTATGAGCGGTGACAGGGCAAGAAGGCCTTAGTGAGGGAACATCACCGGCCTTCCTGGAACCAGATTTCTCATGGAACTGAATTCTGAGCCAAGCCCGTGCTGAAAAGGTAGGCTATTTATTTAAAAAAAAAAAAAAAAAGTTGACAGAAGAAGAGATCAAACACGTGTTAGCTTTTAAAAGGATGAATACCACTTACACTATTTACACAACTCACAGAATTAACAAGAAAATTACATACCAGTGTGAGTCCTCAGGTGAGCTTTTAAATGAGAAGACTTTGTATAAACTTTTGTGCAACCTAAAATAAAGGAGAACAGCATGTCATTTTGGAGATCCTTTTGAAATCTTTACATTTGATGATTCAGTGTTTAAAATCTGGCTTTAAAGAAGAAATCTCTCATGCTAGATGAGATTATTTGAAGCTTCAGATTTAAAAGTTTTTTAAAGAGTCCTCCCCCATTACCCTGTTAAAGGCATAAAGTGATTTGTTTTCTGTATCACTTTAACAGGAAAGAATGCAGATAATCAAGCCAAACTACAAATGGAAAATTTGTGTTTATATTCCAGTAGGTGCTGTACTTCCGTAATTTAAGAGTTACTATATGTTTTTTGGAAAATTTTAATGGCTCTAGAGCTGACAATGCTAAGCCATTATCCAAGATGACTGTAATTTTCTGTACTCCCACATTTGTTTTTTCATTTAGCACGTCATGCCATATCATGTATCAAAGTCAATAAATTTTGTCATGTATTAATCATAAACTAGCTTTCCCAGTAACTTGTAGATCTATTCCATGTATTGTCTTCAATTTACACTTTGGGCCACGTATCTCATTCAAAACTGAGCATATGCTCACATGCCATCAAAACCATTCTTAAATCTATCCTGTAGACAGTCTTGTACCTACCATCACGCTAGCTGCCTACAACCTCCACTTCACTACCAAACCTTATTTTCCCCTACCCTACTTTAATCTCTTTCTGGGGCACTTAATTTAGAATTAAAAACTGCAATTTATTCAATTGCCATTTTAAAGTCACACACACACACACACACACACACACACACACAACCTATTGATGCTTCAACCAGGTAAGAGCACATACCAGGGTAATCGCAGTAGTGGATGCGTCGTTTCTCCAAATCGGGATTACTCCTTCTATTGTATCTGACAGGTTGGATGTTTTGTGAGTTAACTGGCAGGGTGGTGGGTAAATTTGGATTGTGAATTGCCAGTTTAGAAGCAATTGTAGCAGCATAGGATGGAGGTGGGGTTAAATTCTGGAGCATCTCTGCTTGTCTATCTGGACTTCCAGGCTCTGAGCTTGGTGGTGACGGGGGAAAATAAGTGGCCTGTTGTGGAAGAAACTGACTTGGCATTGTGTATGTGCAAGGGGGCATGCCCTGGAATTGTTTCACTGCAGTCTGCGGAACAGCAGAGGTGTGTGTGTTAAGGCCTGCCATGGCAGCTGACATAGAAACATTAAGAGTGTCCATTGCTGCTGTCTGGTTTGTAGAACTGGGCATATCTAGATCCGGTGTATTCAGTAGCTGGTACAGGTGGCCCTGCTGGGGAGGGACAGAAAGATGAAGATCTGGTGTAGGAAGTTCTTGTTTGATGAAAATATTGTTCACCTCTGGAGCTGCGGTCTGGTGTGAGCTGAATATACTGGTGAACTCAGGGAGGGCCTGGGTCGGGGCCGGAGGAGGGGCAGTCGTTTCACTCTGGTGGCTGAAAATGGCAACAGGTTCTGTCTTGATGTGTGTTACGCACGGTCTCTGGGATTTGTAGAGGCCAGTTCTCAGGTGAGTGATGTCAGGGAGGAAGACGTTCATGTTGATACTGTAAGGTAACCCTTCAGTGTCAGTGAAGAACTGGTCTACGACTGAGGCACTGTCTCGTCTATACTTTTTATGCTCTGGAATTATAGGAACTGGAGGAAGCTGAGGTGTCAGATACTTCTCCATTTCACATCTTGTCTAAAAAAGAAGAGATACAAACATGCATAATCCACCTGATTCACCATCTTGGGAAGGACAAACAATCGGCGCCTACTAAAAATTACCCCAATCCCTGTATAAGGTACTCGGGCAAACTCCTCAGTGTTGCTTATAAACATATCAGGCTTATTTTGTCGATTGTGTAATAATTGGTTGACCAAAACCTTATGAAACTGTGTAACTGGTAAAACTGCTCCCCCAATCACCCCCAAAAGTGAAAGACGCAAATCAAGAAAAAAAAAGAAAGCAAACTGAAAACATTCCTTTCTGATGCAATAACAAGGTATCACCCCTGTACAAGCAGGATTCCCTGCCCCATTACACAGTTAAATTTGCAATTAGAGTACACTATTGAAATGTTGCCAAACTACCTCAATTCTGTTTAAGTCATAAACATTAAAAAGCGTGTTTTTTGTTTTGTTTTGTTTTTTTACAGAAAAAACTATGCAAACCTTTAAAATATTGCAAAGGTTTATTTGGCTAGACACTTCAAAAGTAATATAAAAAATATTCTTTGGCTACTTCTGTGTCTTTTCTTGTTTACAGTTCAATGAGAAATACAATGTTCTAAGCAAAACCTTGTATCCACTGAAACAAAACAATTTCACATTCAATATTTGACCTAAAGGTTGATTTTAATCAGCAGATCCTGTAATTGGTTAATATGATAATGAAATGTTCCTATTCATACCCCTATCTAAAACAGATCTTTAATTACCTAGGGGAAAATCACTCCCTTGCTAGAGTGCTGCTAAGGAGCCCGTGGGTGGGGAGGCTGCTGTATCCCTAGCACAGTCATCAGCAAAACATTTATCATGTCCTCCTCAGTGGGCCAATGCTACATTCCCCCCGACTCTGTAAAAAGCTCAGTCATCCCTTATCTTCTTGTGCCTCCAGAGCAGAAAATTGACAAACTGAAATAACCAAATACTTTTCAAACGATGATCTCTTTTCTAGGCTTTTAAATCAGCTTGTAACAAGTCGCCTCAAGCTTTTTCCAGCTATCTTCTCTCCTAGTATAACTTAAGCCTACATTTTTTAACACTGAAAAAGGAAATTTCGAAAGATAAGATAACCAACTAGATGGAATGGCGCATAGTATTAGCTTGGCACCTTAATCGGTAAATAAGACAGTCATTTTCTGCTACTACTTCATTTCAAATGCGTTTCATCTCGGACCTTGGTGTGGATCCGGACGGGGTTTCCCGGATAGACACGATTTAAAAATAAAAATTAACGCTCACGTCATGTGAGTCACATCTCTGACAAATGCCACTGCCCTCTCACAGCAGGACCCTGACAGACCCCACGGAGTAGGCGCTGGGTAGCAAATATGCGATACGCCAAAGGGCTACTAAATGAAGTGTCTTGAAATAAACTGAACTAAACCCTTTCGTGCACTGCGCTCCCGCGGCGGTTAGTGGTTTCTGATTTTAGCTCTTCCAGCTGTTTGCATGTGGGTATGTTTCCAATTTTTTTTTCCTTGGGACAGGCTAAAAGTCCCGGGAAGTTTTTTTCTGGGCTATATGACTCCCTGCGTGGGCGAAAGAAACAGGCGGTTGCTCTAATTCGGCTGCTGGGCAAGTGTAAAAGCCAACTGCCAGCTTTCAACGCGGCTCCGGGAGGAAATTTACGCGCACACGAAGAAAACAACACCCCCGGTCTTTTTTTTTTTTTTAAGGAAAAATAAGCGCTCCAACACAACCTTAGCTTTCCTAACTCTCATTTTCCAAACGCGGCCCGCGATCGCTTCTAAAGCAGGTTGAGCCACCGGCTATGAAATCTTGAGCAACCTCTCCCCAGCACCCCAATTTGCGTTTCTACTTAACCCGAGACGATGGGGATGGGGGAGCTCCAATGCCTTGGCACTGGGGAGCGGTAAAGGTGAAGACGTAATTTAAGTAAAACTGAGCGTAAGGTACAAGGTTTCGTCCCTCAAGTGTAAGAAAAACAACTAAGGTGCGTGTGAGCACCCAGTTCCCTCCCTCTGATCTCTCCCAGGCCAAGCCGCCGGGGCAGATTCCCCTCTATCCTTCCCCCCTCCCGACCCCTCATTTACTCTCAGCGAAACGCGGGTCCCCGGCCAGGCGTGCAGGGCGGGGCTGCCCACCCAGCACCGGCTCCGGTGCGCCCCGACGCACGCCCCAGCCTGGAGCGGCCCCTGTCGCCCGCGCGTCGCAGCGACGGGACACGCCCGGGCCCGGGAGTGCAGTGGTGGGAGGGGAGCGGCTCTTCCTACCTGGACTAGCTCCTCGGGAGGCAGCCGCGGGCCGGCAGCGGGCGGCTGGGCCGGCTGCGGGGCCTGCGCGGGCGCGGGCTGCGCCTGCGAGCGGTGGTGCGCGTGCTTCAGCTCCTCGCCAGGGAAGAGCGCCGCGTCGCGGGCCGGATTTGCGGCGCCCAGCACGGGCTTGAGCTGCGCGAACACGGGCTCGTCCTGCGGCGCCGGCGGCTGGGGCACGGGTCCCAGGCGGGCGCTCATGCTCAGCACCCGCGTAGCCATGGGCACTCGGGAGCGCGGCTCCGGGCGCGGGTCGGGCGCACTTCCCACCTCGCCCACCCTGGCTTGGGGCGGCGAGCTCGGTGCGGGGCTGCGGTCGGAGGAGGGGAGAGGTTTCGGGTGGACCCCTCAGACAGCGGCAGGCAGTTTTCGAAGGCGCGCACGAAAAGCAAAACTCTTCCGCTCTTCCACACGTAAACGCCAACGTCCTACGGGCGGCCACTTTCTCCCGCCCCGCCCCACTGCGCTCTCAGGCTCTCCAGAGCCCGCTCCCGCCACCGCCGACCTCAGCGAGAGAACTGCGAGCGCGCGTACCTGCCCCACGACTACTGACACTTGACGCCCGCCTCTATTTCACCCAACTCCGGGGGGGCGGGGCCCGCTCGCCTGATTGGCAGCGCCGCCGCGAATCCCGAGGCCTCAAGGCCGGCCGGGCCTGAGCGGCCAGCCTATGAGCAGGGAGAGAGGCAGCCAGGGCCCCGCCTCCGCCGGCCCGACCGCACCCCTCTCGGGCCACGAGCTTCGCGCGCAGGGCGGCCGCGCAGTTTGTACACAACTTCTCTGACAGATTGGGCTGGCGGAGCTGGGGGCGGAGGGAAGTAGCGGAGCGGGTGGAATCTGGGAAGAGGGGGAATTAGGGTGGAGACGCGGAGGGAGAGCTCTTCGCACTGTTCTCTGCCAGGATTAGGAAGAAAAAGAGTATTGCACGTCTTAGGTGTTGTGCAAGGACCTGAAACTCAAAAGCTGAAACCCAGAAGGCAGCTAGGTGGGGGCGCTGAGGCTTTTAGAGATTTGTCTAATGAGTGTGTACTTTTAAATATCCGAAATATACTTCTCTTTAGCAGAAAACTAGGGGCGGTGTAATAAACAAATTTAAAACAGCTCTTGTCTCATGTATCTTTAGCAGTGACTGTATCCATTTAACAAGGCAAATTCAGAATGCCTGAATAAAAGATTTGATGGGAAGCGTTATTTTCAAATCCTCGCATAAAAGCCTGAGTTTTTCCCACTCCTTCAGGATTTTAATTGCTAGACGTTTTCCCACACATTTGTACCTCCTATCCGTGTGTGGGGAGGAGGGCTTGGGCCACATGAATTTTGAAGTTTCTAATATTTAAGCCATGTTGATTCTAGCCGAAGCATGGAATCTAATTTAAGCACGACTGGCTCAAATGTGTACTTAAATAGACATTACATCTTTGACTTATTTTTGCTAGCACTGTATGTTAAAAAAATGGACTTTAATATTTACAAAACAGAAACCTAGCACATTTACCTCACATTGTGGCACCTTTTCCTACGAAGAGACAACCAGAAAGCCACAAACATAGACACATAGACACTGAAAACTGGGAATCCAAATTTGTTGGAAGGTAATAGCCAAATATATTACCGTCCATTTACTATGTTGTTATAATGGGAGGGTGAATTTTTGCCAGGAATCACCTAAGGAAACCACTTCCCTTAATCCTTAATGTTCTTGTACATGATTTTATCTGGCTTATTGGGAGGACGGAACAATAAACTGCAATAAAAATGCTTGTGATATTACTACAAATGTACATATGTTGACAGCACAGTATACCATTAGACAGTTTTACATATACGACAGCCTACTCATCGCTTCAGAGTAAAACAGCTTTAAAAAAAAAAGTATTTGAAAAAAACGTTCACTTCAAAGAGCATATCTATCAAAGGTATGGATCTCATTTTCAATGGGTAGAAAATTAATAAGCACATAAAGAAATGTATTTATTATTAGAACATATAAAATTATGCTGTAAACTAGGTTTTTCTCCTTTTCCTTCTCTTCCTGTTGATACATGATTCATTTCTACTAACTGTGACCACTGCCTTCAGAGAATGACTGATGACTACTTTCATGTTACCAAAGTATTATTTAATAAGTGCTTTTGCAAGTTTTTCTCTAACCAAACAGCCCCATGCTGTCCACCTTCATCTTTAAAAAGCTGTCTTGCTTTTCTCTAATATCAAACCGATCATGTAATTAATTAGCTTAGAAACAGATTATAGAATTAGGATGGGATTTAATGTAACTCTTTTAAAAAATTGAGCTCTGAAAGATTGTTAGTTACTTAATTCTGATAACATCAAACCTAAATGTGATGTAGATAATTCTTAATAGAACTTTTGTGCTCTTGTAACTTTAAGCTAAATCTAACTTAGATTTAATACATTTGGTAGCTGTATCTTAATGTGCTTTTAAACCTATCTAGACCTTTCCTTTTGTCTTTCTTTTTACGAGAGCTTCAGTGGCCTGGTATTTCAATCTAAGTTTTCACTGCAATAAAATCCCTGTATTTTACTGGAAATGCTTCCATAATTTCACACCACTTTTTAACATGCTTTCATTTACAAAAGCTTTTTCATTGCAAAAAAAGAAAAAAACACACACAACTAATATTGTTTTTAATATTTTTAGTCTTGTTGTTTCATATTTCCACTTTTCATAATGAATATAGATATGAAGCTAGCGTTGGGGTTCTTATAGTAACTGAATATATTCCTTTTTGCTCCAATACAGTAGCACCTTTTAAAATTTCATTTCAGGCATAAAGATTCATGAAATAGGGCTGCCACTTTTAAGTAATAGTTTCTCTGAAATGCCCTGCTCTGCAATCTCACAGAAAATAACTAGCTTAGCACTGTACAATAGTACGGAAATTGGAAAGTAATCCTTTTCGGAGACATTTGCCATGTGATTCTGAGCATATAAAGAACATGTTCAACCAAGCTTCCCTGCTGTTACTTTTAACATAAATGCTACAGCTGCAAACCTGTTTCATCGACTTAGTAAAAAGGGTTAAAACTTGATAAATATTTTTCAAATGTTCCAGGTTCTACATTGGCATGAAGCCAGACAGAGTGAATGGACAGATCCTCAATTACTTTGAACTTTCTAGTTCTTTGCATTCCTTCCCGCTTAGTAGTGCTGTACCATTAGGGAAGATGGGAGAAAACAAAAAACAAATGTCAGGTTTCAGAAATCAATTAGTGGCCTGGCAGTGGTGTGTTAAGTGAACTGTGCCAAAACAGGGGATTCTGAGGGAATGAAATAAAAATGTTGAGTGCTCAAGTTAGGTAGGAGGGTAAGCATAGAAGCAGTGTGCATGCTTAAGTCCTTAGTCACTGGGCAACACAGATTTAGTCTTAGAATAAACCATAAGTGTCACTATCTTTACGGGAATAAATACGGATGAATATGCGGGGGCTGAACAGGCATTCAGTGATGGGGGAGGGGGTTTGAAGGAGGCAGTGGAAAAAAATAGATAAATAGCTTCTGAATGATGAGATGAGGGAAATATGAAGCTATCACTAGGGCAATGTTCACACAACGACACGGCAAAAGGAATATCTAAATTCAGTTGTTTGGCAAATCTAAATTCAGTTGTTTGGCAAACAACTGAAATGTCAGAGAGAGCTCGAAATTAAGAGGTATAGAGTATCACAGCCAACAAAACTGTATTCACTTCGAGTAGAAAAATATTCATAGAATATTTATTTCTGCTAAATCAGTATCAAATTGCCAAGTGATCTTGGGCCACAGGAAAAAGAACAAGAATAAACATGAAAAATAAAGTTTTATACGGGAGCACACTCTTCTCTAGGGTAAGATTATTTAATTAAAGTGACTGGTAGTCATTGATTGTCCACCCCTGTTAGAATCTGTATCAGTGAAAACTTAAAACTATTGTAATTATTGTCCTCTCAAACATTTCACATCTGTAGTCTTTGTATTTTTTCATTAACGGCAACCACTTAAAGCCACATATCAGAAAAAAAGTCATTAAGGAAATAGCCTGATAAATAGAAGCTTCAACTGAGATTAGTTGGAATTTAAAGCATTTAAAGCAAAAGATTACGAGACGAGAAAGAAGATGCTCTGTTCATTGTTTTTGTGATGAAAAAATATGCAATTTAAATAAGACTAAATACATCTATTTATATTAATTAAAATTATGTCTTAAGACAACAACTTAATATTTTATTTTTGTAATGTCTCTTGCCTCCAGTTCTCAAGAAATTACATTTTATATTTCAGTTTGGATTTTTAAACATGTTCTTCTTAAAATATTTCATAAAACTCCCTTTATGCGCTTAATCCTAAGGATACTATAATTTATCTAGCCTAATTTTAAAACTCTACTAATATCCAAAAAACAGGAGAGTTTTACCTTTTGGAGAGACTGGGATTGCTTTTTCCACCTTGTTAGTATAATAAGTAGACAAAAGTGACATAAATATAAACGCCTGGAACCAAGTTATAGGCCAAGCATATTGTAGCTTAAACTGTACAGTATTTAAATTTTGACTCGAAACATGATAGGCAAGGTTAAGAGAAAGGTCTGAGCTAAAGTGGTTACACCAAACAATCTTTTAGAACATTAGGGAGGTCTCATCATCAGCATCACAATGGGTAGTGTTTTGAGCCAATTGCTGTTCATGTGATGACAAAAGCTGTAATGGTACCAGGCTGTGGGGAACACCCTGTGAATGCTCAAATGAACTGTGTGTGCATGGGTCACACGGAAATACTCTTTTAGATGTTGATTTATAGATGAAGTGTGTAAAAGTTGTGCCTAAGAGCAATGCGAGTTCTTCTTGAGTAAACTTTACAACTTTGGGGAAGGGCAATTTGACAATAAGTATGAAAAAGGCTAAAATGTAAATAACTTTGAAAATGATAGATAATTTCTCTTTTAGGAAAGGTGTATGTGTGTGTGTGTATATATCTGTATTGTGTATATATATATACATGCCTGGCCCACCATACACACGTACAGGTATATATATACACACACATATATCTTTATATATAAAATTGGGCCAGCCACCATGCCTGGCCCAAAATTATATATAAAGATATATGTGTGTGTATATATATACCTGTATGTGTGTGTGTATATATATATTTTATATATATATATATATAAATTTTATATATAAAATTGGGCCAGGCATGGTGGCTCACACCTATAATCCCAGCCCTTTGGGAGGCTAAGGTGGGAGGATTGCTTGAGGCCAGGAGCTGGAGACCAGCTTGAGCAACATAGTGAGACCCCTATCTCTACAAAAATGTTTAAAATGAATTAGGCATGGTGATGTATGCAGGTAGTCCCAGCTACTTGGAAGGCTGAGGTAGGAGGATTACTTGAGCCCAGGAGTTCAAGGTTACTGTGAGCTATGATCACACCACTGCACTCCAGCCTGGGTGACAGAGCAAGACCCTGTCTCAAATAATAATAATTAATTTAAATAAAAATAAAATTGGAAATAACCTAGGTTAGGTGTCCAACAACAGGGGAGTAGTTAAGCAATATATCCATACCATGGCTACTGTTATGCTACCAAAAAGTTGAGTAGTTGGAAAAAAAGGGGGAAAATTCATATTAAGGAATATTTAGTGACACAGGAAAACATTCATGCTATGTGTAGTGAAAGAAGGGAGTTTTATCAATATGTACCCACAAAGATGAAAAGAAAATACCAAACATGGATGTATTTTGGTGGCCTTCATTG